CGATAGGCTTTGTGATCAGTGGGGTAACCTACAAAAATACAGCATCTAGCTCTTGGTTCAAATTTATTTGGATGGTCATGAGAAGTGGATGCATAGCATAAACAACCAAAGATACGTAGATGATTGAAATCAGGGGAAAGGCCATAAAGTTTCTCATAAGAAGTCTTATCACCTAGAACTTTTGATAGGTGTAGTTGATAAGATGGGTAGCAGTGAGAATGCAATCCCCCCAAAATGAAAGTGGAAGGCCAGCATGAAAACGTAGAGCTTAGGCAACATTAAGAAAATAGCAGTGTTTACGTTCAACAATACCATTTTGTTGAGGGGTAACTGGACAACTAAATTGCTGTAGAATGCCATATTCATGAAGTAATTTTTGATATGAATGATTTGTAAATTTAGTACCATTATCAGATCCTATAGTTTTGACGCATTATGAAAATGATTATGAATGTAAGCCAAGAAGTGGACAAGTAAAGAATATGCATCAAACTTGAATTTCATGAGATAAGTCCATGTGACTCTGGGAGAAATTGTCAACAATAGTTAAAAAATAACAGTGACCATTTTTTGTTGGTGTGGAATATTTTCCTCAAATATCAACATGAATTCAATCAAACAAAGAGTTACTGGTGGGCATATGTAAAGGAAAGAGAAGTCTTGTTTGTTTTGACAAATGACAGACTTCACAATAATCACAAGAGGTCGAATGGAGAACTCAACAACTCCAATGTCCTTTCACTTAGGTTCAAAAGTAGAGTTGAGGCAAGAAGTGGTTGGAGGTTCAAAACCTATAGGGACTTTAACTTTCTCAATATTTTTAGAAGGCTCAAGGGGTGGTGTTTGGTTTGGTGATGCTAAATACATAGAAGGCATACATTTCATTTAATGATTTTGCTTAATCTTTATTCCTCAGGGATGAGTTCTACCACGATCCTCAGCAATGCTTACTTGCGTCAGGATTAGTAAAGGTTGGCTGGCGACGTGTCTCGGTGAGCTATTCCGTGCGATTGGGTAACCCCCCTCACTACCCCCAAGGTTCTTCCTTTGAACCTGAACACTCCACATTCCCTAATTGTACCAAGTTGTGACCTTAACTCTTCTTTTTACCTCCATGCATGATGCATCTGAACAGTTACATGGAAACATCCGCACTTGATATTTGTCATCATCCAACACTGTCATTCTCGGATTGTACATTCAGACTTCAAAGAAAATATCATACTTCGTAATCATCATTACAATTTAAACTAATATAGTTACCGGTAATACAATAATCAAAATCTGAGCAAATAGGAAGTATATAATGATTCTATTAATCATGATAAAGCGAAAACATCACATATTTCATATCTTTTTACCAAACATATTAAAAACATGATCAAAGTGAATAGTCATACGTGCACATGATACTAAAAAAATAAGAAAAGACAAAATAGAAGTAAATATAGTAACTTTTTATATAATTTCAAAACGAAAGGTATGTATTTTAACTAGGTATTATTGAAAGTATCCACACAGGACAGCCGCAAGTTTAACTCCACATGCATTTGATTTTTAAACCAACAATCAATAAAAATCAGAGTTAAATTGTAAAACAAATTTTTGAAATTCAAGGTTAATGGTAAAAATTTGAGTTTTGAGAAAAGCGAGTTATTTGGTCTCAGTAAAAGTAAAAGTTTGAAAGAAAATAAGATCTTCCTTTAAATTTTATCTAGTTACCCTAACGCTATTAAAAGACATTAACCTTCTTACCAAGAAATATTTTTCATACTAAAACGATTTCAACTTAACCAAATTAATTGTTTTTCATATTGGCTAATCAAAACTTGTGTTTTTATCCATAAAGGTGTAAACAGAGAAGAAAATAGGTAGGTTTCTTAGAAAGATTAACTTGCAACAGAGTAGGGGAATGTAAACTGAAAGGAAAACAAGTGGGTTTAATGGAAAAATAACATGCAACAGCACATTATCTTAGCATCACTCCTTATATTAACTCGAAAAGCAAGATTATCCAAGAATCGTGAGAATAACAAGCAATCAGCAACATGAAAATATACCTCAACCACAATCGCATTCATGCAAGTCACAAAACATCATTTTAATGGTACCATTCAAGTGGGATCGTCGAGGGATTAAAGAAAAACTATTTGCATGTGAACTTTTAATGAAGATCAAAGGTGAGAATGAGGGAAAAAAAAGGGCGCATGCAACACTCAATAGTTATATGCTCAAACACACATTCATACACACACAAGGACTCCCTTTACCTTGTTGGAAATAGAAATGATAAGGAAGTTAGAAGGTTGCCTTTGTCGTTTGTAGTGAATCATCCACGACGCAGTCTCTTGGTGGCAGTGTGAGCATTGAAAGAAAGGTGAGAGTGTGGCGTGCAAGAAGGTTTTCTTCGTGCTCCTTTGATCTCCTTAGTGGGTTGCAGTAGTGAAGAGATGTCTTCAAAAAACGAAAAGAACAAATGAGGGTGAAAAGGGTTTATATATAGTGAGCGTAAGTTGTGGGAGTGAAGGAAGGTATAAGGTGTAATTTGTGTCTTTTCATTTCAATGGGTGTTATAGTAATGGAACAACACACGAAAGGCTAGGTTATACAATCGTTTTCTCTCTCCATCCACTATGTATTTGAATGGGCGTAACCTTTCACTTTCTCTCCTGAAGAGTTGCGTCTCCATTCCAGAAACAATTATCTCTAGAGATAATTTCGAGTGGTGGATTGGCATTGATTGGGACGCTCATTTAATGTAGGCCGACAATTTTGAATCATTTGAGGAGAGGAATAATTACACGTCCCTCCATATTCTTCTAAAGGTTTGAATGCAGTTGGGAGGCAAAATAGATGAGGTTTAATGATGAATTAAATAGGAAAATAGAAGGATTTTCGGTTAAGTATAATTAAGGCGTAATTATTAGGGAAGCTTTCAATAAATTTCCACGTAATTGGTGGTGATTCATGATGAAACGGCTAGTCATAAATGGGTAGCTAGAAACACGAAAAGTCATTAAATATAAATAATAAGGGCTTTGATTTGGATCATTAAGGCTAATTCCTTCTCTCTCTCCTAAACATCAACGCATTTTCGGTTACAGCAATTAAGAGAGAATAGGGTAAGTGGGAAAGTATCTCTTAGACTTCTTCTTCACGTGGAATATGGTAAGAAAGAGGAGTTATTAACCTAAATAAATAGTTGGCTCCAAGTGTGCTTGGTTAATGGAGAAACGAAAGGGCTTGGAACCATTATGACTAGGCTTAAATGAATATTAATGGCAAAGAGAGAATAGGAATAAATGTCAAGAGAAGGGCAAGAGTCACACGTGCACACTTCACTCTTAAATGGAAATAATAATAACATTAACAGTAAAAAAAATAGATTAAGAAAATGAATAATAATAAATGTAGGGTCTACACGTTTCATGAGTCGGGAAAAATCATCCTAGCTTTTTGTCTTACTCTCCTAAGGTTTCCAAAAAAAAAAATTTCTCTACATAACCATGAAGACATATATATAAGAGAAAGAGTACATTAAGTATTATCACACTATTCCATAAAATTTAGCCAATGCATAAACAAAATGCAAGCAAGAGCAACAAACGATCTATGAAAGTAGACCGAATATGGAGATGTTACAACTTTTTACTAAATATTATTCCATAAGTTCATTATTTTATAGTAGAATATATAAATATAGTCATTAAAAAAATTATAGAATATACTATAATAATAATTTTATATTTTTATTTTTATTTAATATAAAATATGATTTTCTATATAGTTTACATTATTTGTTTTTTTAATTATTTTATTATATCTCTAATTTTAAAAAAATTATCATTAGAAAGTTTTTTAAAAAAAATACTAAATAATAATTACTGAATACTATTATTAGTTGTTTAAAGTATTCTATTTTAATTGAATTTTAGTTCTAATTTTATTTCTGATCGTGTTAAATCTTATTAGGAATTATATAATATAAAATATGATTTAATATTTAGTTTAAATTATTTATTATTTTTTATTTAAATTAATTTATTGTATCTTTGATTTGGAGTTTTTTATTATTAAAATTTTTTTTAAAAAAATACTAATTATTATTCCACAATTTTGTTAGACGATTATTTTTTATTTTATTGTATTTCTAAATCAAAAAAATATTTATTATTAAAAATTTTGCAATTGATAATTAAAAAAATTAATGTAATTAAACTAATTTACTACTAATAAAATTAAAAATAAAAGATTATAAATTTATTATTTTTATTATCTCTTAAAAAAACTTCTTTTATATAACGTATACAGAAGTGAATTAAATTTATTATATTATATAAATTAATACTTTGTACTTAGTTCTTTTTTATATGATTAGAAAAATTTATATTCCTGTACTTATATTTTGACTAGTTATGAATAAATGATGGTCATATATTAATTGATTGCAAAGACATAAAATTATGTTTTGCTTTTATTGATTTAGCACATTGTATATACCTTAAATTTTTAATTTTTTTCATTTGTTTCAAGAAATATGTTAACATCAGATCATTAGTTATTAGTTAAAATTTAATAAAATTTATAAAAATAACGTTAGTTTCACTGTTTTTTACTCTTAATTTAATATTTATCTCTTATACTTTTATAATTTTAAATAAAATTTAATTAATAATTAAGAGTGTAATTATTAGAAGAGAAGAGAGGAAATATCCACTTACTTCCTCATGTGCAGGTAGATATTGGGTAACATGTCATAAATCTCTTAATTATCTCTTTGATTAGAAAAGCCATTTATTGAACAGGGTTTATACTTATTGGGGTTCTACATGGCGTTTGCATCAATAGCTGGTATGGAGAAACTTCAACACTCCAAAAACTTCGGATTCTTCACAAATAATGATGTTTTGACAGTAGTATAGGGGTGTATGTACTCGTATGAAAAGAGAGAGAAAGTGTAATCGATGATGTACAAACACGAATCAAAATAAACTTCAATAGTTAAAAAGCTTATATAACGAGGCCATTTCATTAAGCTCATTAATATAAAACAGACAGTTGAAGGAGCCTAAAGCTCTCAAAAATCAGAGGCTGGCAAACCCTTTGACACAACCACCTGGCCCTCTCGGCATAAATATAAAACCCAACCAGAGACAACAAAATCTATATACAAAATCTATACAATCATCGTACATCAAAATTTACAGTCATTTGGCAAGCAATTGCTGCATTATCAGTTGCAACCGCTACACCTCTGCAAGTTGTGTTGGATTTACAAGCCTTGTTACCATCAAGGTCTGGCAGTTTTCTGGCTTTCTTCCTATACAGGTTGAGGCATCTCAAGCACACAAACTTCGAGGGAATAGAATCAGAGTTATCAATTCCAGCACATCTGGTATGTTGCCAAACACCACAGGTATCACATGCCAACATTCTTTCCCCATCATCATCATTGGCCCCACAAGGGCAATCAACTTTCCATGCCTCGGTTCCTCTTTCCATTCGGAAACGGTTTAGCCTGTGTTTGGCTGGGCATTTACCTTGAATTTGGACAAATCCACTTGTTCCAAGCAAGAATTTTAAGGTGTAGGAATCACTGACTGATCCAAATTCTAGGAGTTTCTCAGCCTGAAACCTCTTGTACATCACATATACTTCTTGAAAAACACTAGTGACTTCACTCATGAGGTCCGAAAGAGTAGCATTCAGAGGCAAGATAATTAGCTCTGGAGGTGGGGATGGATCATCTTTAGGCTGATCAGAAAGCTCCACACTACACCACAACCTAATGGCTGGAGGTAGCTCGGCTGCTACTTTTTCAGGCTTGTAATCCTTCATAAACTGCTTACAGTCTAGGAGCTTTCTTGCTGAATCAACCACCGATTTCTTTACAATCCAACGTCCATTGCTTGCCATTTTGTCAGGGTGAATAATTGAATAAAATAAAAATCTCAGATCAGATATCACTTGTTCTTCTGATGGATAGCTAGAAATTGCACCAAATCCACTTTGCACACTACTCAATTGATCAAGCCTGTTGTCAAGGATAAATACAATCAGTTTTTACTTTTACAGAAGCAACTGACAAAACGCAAACATTAGGTAAAACATTTCCACTCTTACCTGAACTCAACAGCATTAGAAACGGGATTACATCGCGATTGAACTACCATGCCATTGGAAGCCGATTTCCCTCGAAAGTGCTTGAGACTATAATCTAAAAGCTCAGATGCAGCCCCCTTGCACACTGAACCCTTGAGAAAACGCCAACTCACCCATTTGTCCTCACTATAGGCACCAGATGCAAGTAACACCTTGATGAAAGTTTGTTGCACATCTTCAACGTCATTACTCGCCCATGGACACAACACATTAGCAGTGCTAGTGTCTTCATGCTGTTCAGATGTTTTGGTCAGGGGATTACGGCATTTGTGAATCAATGCCAGCATAAAAGAGAAAAGATCTTTAATTGTCACAAGTCCAGTATCTGCCAAAGACTGGTAAAGAGAAATGACACACTGAAGGCGGGTTCGAGGCCCCCGACCGAGGAACAAGAAAGAGGACAAGGGCATAGTTGACAGGGCATTCACTGCTTTTCTGTAAACATCTTGTGTAAGAGCATAGCTGCCAGCACCAAACTCGTAACCCCAATTGCCATACCAAGAGTACCCTTCAGTGATTGCATGAAGCAAACGATATTCCAACCCAAACTTCTTGGACAAATCCATCACACTAACCTTCCTGCTCAAGCATAGCATACATGATGCACCACTCACTAAAATGCAATATGAATGTACGAAATATTTTCTCTTTTTCTCAACTTTTTGAGTGCAAAATGTTAGTTTTGAGGGGTTATTGATTTGTACCTAACAGAGAGAGCGCCACAAAGCCTATCCCAGAATCCCATGATATCAGATCCAGATAGAAACTTTGAACCACCTTCTCTTCCATTTAGTGTAAGTAGATGACCATAACCATTGGAGTGAACAACCCCATGTAAAAGATGGGTATTATCATACACCCAATCCTCTATATCATCAACGGTAATTGCAGAGTCACACCAATTACACCTGCCAAGATTTTCAAATTAACCAAGACTAATAAGCATTTTTGCATTAAAAAATATCATGGGTCAAATATTAATGCTGAATGGGAACACACCTTGGTTCAGAAAATTGAATAAGATTAGCACATTTTGAACATGATCGTTGATAAGGTTCAGAAGCATTGCTTGAATCAGCCCTTATTATGAAATGGTACCGCTTGCGACACACTGGATGCCCACTCCATCCTATTTTTTTTATAAATTCAACCAAAAGTCAAACCTTAGAAAAGTCACATCTAAACCAAACCATATCCGCTGATATCACATGTTTATCACATATTTATGTTTTTTATGAAACTATTTTTATCACGAAATCTTTATGTCATTAATATCACATAGTTTTCTTTTAAAAATATTATTTACACTATTTAACTCTTTTAATATTTTATAATTAGTATAAAAGATAAATTATTAGAAATAACCGCAATATTTTTTAAAAATGTTAAAAAATATTGAAATTTAAAATATTCTTCCCCTAGAAAAAAATATATCTTTATCAACAGTAACTACAATTCCGTTAAACTTATTTAAAAAATCATATATACTATGAAGACCTATATCACAAATAATATGATTAAATATTTTTTATAATCTTTTAAAATTGTGAAAACTGAAAATATATCTAGATGCAAAATAAGGTGCTTAAGATCAACTCTTGGAAAATCCACTCATGACTCGCCGAATTGACTCGTCAACTCAGTAACTTCACGTCTCAATAGAATGTTCTAGTAGTATCATGTTTCCGTTTCTGGTTTTTTTTTTTTGTTGTTTTGTTTTCCTGTGTTGCTATTGAGTCAGTGTGTCGACTCACCAACGACTCGGCACTGGTCGCAGTAGACCGGGCTTCGAGACCGAGTCACTTCTTCCTCGACGATGTCGACGGCGATCGTCACCGGTGACAAATCCGGTTCTCCATCAAGAGATCCGACACGGAACGAGATCTGCCACGTCATCAGGGAGGGAAAGAGCGAGGGAGGGAAGGTGACGCGCGCGTGGCTAGAGAGGAAGCGGAGAACGCTGAACCGGAAAGGTTCGCCGGTGGAATCTCCGGCAACCGGAAAAGAAAAAAAGTCATGAAGATCAGCGGTTGCTCCTCTTTTAATCCGCTTGGTGGGTCTCTCGTTCAGCACCATAGCGTGCACGGCAACGTTAGTAACGAGGGTTACGATTTTATGTTTGAAAGAAGAAGATTCAGCAAAAGATAAACAGTAATATTTTGGATCCGTAAGAAAAATAGCGGCGCAAAACTACTAAGCGTTAGGGTTTGTTTGTTCTGCTCTCAATATATATACCGTTCCAATTGGCACTTTTATTTTTTATTTTTTATTTTTTGAGTCGGTGAGGTAAAACACAATAACATTGTTAATAATTTATATTTTATTTATATCATAATTATATTATACAGTACCTTTTTAAAAATAAATAATATCTTATTATAATAATTGAAAATAAAATGTAATATCTTACGTTATTAAAATTAAGATTTATTTAAGTTGCGGAATAATTCGAGACTGCGACATAAAAGCTTACTTCTTGGTTAAGTTTCTGACGTTTGGATAGGTTATATAAATTCTGATTTTCTAAGGATATATTTAATAAATTAACATTAAAAAATACGGTAAAATAGTACTTTTAAGTTTTAAGATGTTAATGCATTTAATATTTTATTTTATAATTTTCACAGCTATTTTTAAGAAATTTGTTAATGAAATTATTTTAAAATGTTGAAAATTAATATTTTATTGAAAAATATTTGTTGCAGTTTTGTTTTTGTAGACGGGTGTTGTTTAGCATGTTCTCTACGAATTCGCTAATGAGATAAAAATTAAGATAAAAAAAATTAGATGAAAATAAAATATTTAATATTTATTTATTTGAATTGAATACTCTTTAGCACTCCTTAACCTCTTTTATATGTGGAAAAGTAAATTATATACACATGTATCATTTATGAGGAGTGTTCATTCAAGTATATCGTAAATTGTAAAAATTAAACTAAATAATTGAATCACCACAAAATCCTAAAAATCAAAAAAATTTTTATTGAATTAAATTTTAAATTTCATTCCAAAAATCTATTTAATCCAAACTGAAGATATAGACATATAAATTTTATTTATAAAATTAAGATTTCATTCATATATTCAAAACTATATATTAATAAAATTATAGTAATTAACTATTTTGCATGATTTTATTTTTAATTTATAGTATATTTTTTTTTAGGGATAAAGTTAATTTTCATGATTATGTAAATATGCTTTTTTAGAATAATTTAAATTACTTTTGTTTATCATATTTTTATATATAATTTTATATTTTGCATAAAAATAACCATTTATAAATAGTGTAGAAGAAATTATATTAATTTATTTATTATTTTTAATTAAATTAAAAATAAAATTATAAAAAACCAAGTTTCTAATCCAATTCAAACTGTTTTTATTGGATTAAATCGATTTTTTTCCAAATCGAAATGCAATCAGATTAAATGACTTTTAATCTAAAAATTAATTTAATTCATTTTTCTGACATTTTATCACCTATAGATATTAGGAATATTTGAATAAATTTTAGAAAGTTTTATAATCTATCTATTTTTAGTGTATTTTTTATGTACTGTTATTTTTTAAAAAATACTAATTTATTTTTCTATTATTTTTTATTTTTTCATAAAAACATTAAATCATCATAAATTTATTAAAAATATCTTTAACTAAAAATATATGTTCAAAACTTAAACGAATGGATGTATAAATTTTAGAGTAAATTACTATCACATCTTATGAAATTCAACAGAACTTTATTTAATTCTCATTCTTTTTTTACAATAATATAATATTGTATATCCTATTTCGTTATCCCTGATTTTTATGTAATTATATAAATAAAAAAAGTTTGCTTCATATGTAAAACAGGTAAGAGATAGTGTATAAAATTTTATTGAATCAAGAAATATAAATATAACTTGTCTTAGGCATAATAAATATTTTTTCTATTAAGAATGTCGTTATCATTAAATATTAATAAAATAAAAATATTTCTTATATTAATTTCTAAAAATAAATTATTTCAAACATATTAATTTTATATGGTGTATTAAAATTTGAATTAAAATTAAATAATTTTAAGTAATAGTATAAATAAATAAATAAATAAATAAATATATATATATATATATATATATATACACAAATAAGATCCTTTTACTTATGTAAGCTTATAAACTCTTTCACTCAATGTGAACATTTTATTTAATTTATATCTAACTGGTTATAATTTATTACTTTATTAATCATTAGATATAAATAAAATAAAAAGCTTAAATTTAGAATAAAAATTTGTAGACTTACATTAATCTCAAAAAATTCTCTCATTCTTTATATATATATATATATGACAAGATCTTCTTACATCAGTATAAGTTTTAAAACTCTTATATCTAATTTAAGTCTTTTATTTAATTTAAATTTAACAAGTTATTACTTCACTGATATATATCAAGGGTCCCTTTTATTTATTTTAAATGTTTGTACATATTTTTACCACAAATTTTAAATACTTTTTAAAATTTTAAGAAATCCAATAATTTTTAATAATTAAAAGCATATTAAATGGAAATAATATATACATTAATATAATGCTTATTGAATTTTTTTTATTTTAATATAAAAAAAATTATACGCCCTAGTAGAAATAAAATTAAAAGTCTTGAACAAGGACAAAACATCATGTACACACCATATTCGCACTGCACACTGAGGCACATATGATAATATTATATTGTACTATACAATTATGTATCAAATTTGAAAAGTTAATATTAATTAAACTTTATCAATTGATATTGCGTGATTAAATATGATGTATAAAATTTTAAAAACAGATTAATTGTGAATGAAAATTGAAGTTGTATTGAAAGATAGAAACTACAATTTGATAGTTTTTAGCTTTACGTGTGAATGGCTATAGATCCACATATAAAGTTTTCAACGTGTTTCCAATCACTCGTTAAGTATATTTAGACTGAAAAAAAGTAAACTAAAAAATGAATGATGCTTAAGAGTTGAAACTCAACAAGCGCTCTCTTTCTCGCTGAGGAGTATTACCAAAAGGATATAACACTACACTTGGTATCAAGTAATTTGCTTCATAATTTATACTGATCATATATAGACAGTGCAGTGCTTTGAATCCGGGAACACACGGTTCCAGTCTCCAGAAGAATGAAAGGGGGTGTAGTCAGGTTCATCGCCGAGTTACCGTGTAGTAAACCAGAAAATCAAGGGTAATTGTTGATCAAATAATAACAAAACAAATTAGATACATGATGTGCGTTTAAACTTGGACACTTATTATATATCTACATACTCGACAACCCAACTTCATAATGGAATAGCTACATTCCATAAATTCAGTACTGCAGCTGTTCCGTCGTAAATAGCTTTTGTATGACATTCAGAAATGGAATCTGTAACTGCCTAAATCCAGTGTAGGTCTGGATGATGTACTTTCATGGTATACACCATGTGTTCAAAGATCAATAGAATAAGCCTCATATACACCTGCAGCTTAGTCACTTGACAAGTCTTTCAGCTCTCCTAGAAATTTCTACGAAAGCAGACATCTACAGTGAGCTTAATGGCCGAAAATGTACCATTTACTTATCAAAGTTTTAAGGAAAAACAGGATTCATGTTCAAGCAACCACCTGCGCACTGGAACTGACCCTCCTCTAATTCATCCACTCATTTAAAGTCAAAACTTACTGTAGAGGAAACTCTTTCTGGAGAAGGTCCAAATTACGACTATCACAAGCTTCCAACATGTCATTCCTAGAAGCACAGCTGTAAAATAGGATGAGACTGAAGGTAAGTCACAGGAATATAAAATCAACAATTACTTTGAATTACCACTTTCTTATTTGCCTCGGTCAAATCCAGCTTTACTTTTCTCTGTTTGTATATATTCTAATATCATACCTCAATGAAATTCTCAAATATTGCCATGCATTCTCTGCCTTCGGATTCATGGCAAGTGCTCGAACGTAATATCGAATAGACTCATCATACATACCCTGTAGGAAATGTTAAGGGTATAGCACATTATTATATTCGTGACACAGTTAAGATACAAATTATAATATAAGAGTAAACACCTTTTCTGACACTATAAAGGCACAGGGGTCATCAACAAATGGTCCTTCAGTATTTGATGTCAAAAAATAACATTCAAGGACTAATTAGAAGTCAACGTTTGGGATTGAAGAACTATTTTGAAATACTTATTGTTGGAGAAGAAAATCAGCTGCACTCGTATCTCGAGAGAATCAATATAGGATTAATGTAGAAGCACCGATACTAAATTCAAATGAAGACATCAATATTTCAGAAGTCACATACAATAAAATGGTATTATTTATCTAATCATTGTGACGCACCACCTGTACAAAAATTCAGAAATAGAATTGAAGTTGATATATGTAGCTAGGAGTAACAAAAGGTATAAAGAGTATCAAACACGAGTTTGGCACTAAAACAGAAATCGTTTGAAAGTGTTTCGGATTCCTAGTAGAAAACAATCACTAACTTTATACATTTAATAATCATTTTTAAGTTAGCTTCTTTAAAAAGAAATAATTGTCAAACCATACACATATATATAAATTTGAATTTGAATTTGCATTTACATGGTTACACCAGCATCACTCGTGCCTCTTCTAGTACCCACTACCCAAAAGATATGGTAAAATCAACAAAGCAAATGATTAACCATAATGATATCCATAAAACTCATATTTAGACCTATTTAGTGTAAGTATGAACACAAATGAATTCATATTGTAAACATTTTTCTATTGAATAATCTTGTCATTCAGTTGGAGGAATGACCCAATGAGACAATGATAGGAACTCAATGATTGAACTCTTTTTTATTGAATAATCTTGTCGCTCAGATGGAGGCATGACCCAATAAGACATTGATAGGAACTCAACGATTGAACTCTTTTTATTGAATAATCTGTGCTAACAGAGGGTTGCGGTCCTTTTCAATTTTTGTCAAGGTCAGTACCCTTCCTAATCTGTGTCATTGATACTGATATGATACCAGTGTTACCGTGTAATATAAGGAATTTTTACAGAAGCTGATAAAAGAAACACTGAAAACAGAAAGAAAATAGAGAGATAAAGCAGCATTCTTGGGATGTAGCCTCTCTTTCCAAATCTCACCAAATTCTTGCCTGAGTCTCAACCTTGTTTCCTTCCCTTAAGTTCCAGCTGGATTGCCACATTAGCAAGGTAGGTTTCCAACAACGTTACACACCCTTTGGCATTTCCTTGCAGTTCTCAAAGTAAGTTTTAACTAACACGCCCCCCTAAATAAAAAAATCTTCCTAGTGTGCACCCAAGTAATAGCAGGGAGCCTAAAACACACCATCATTTGGGCCAAAGCAGCTATTTTAACATATCCTTGGGAAACATTACAAGTTCTAACTTTACTAACTAGTCCTTAGCTGCCACATAAAACATCGTTTCAGTTGAAACAAGTGTACACTAGTTTATTACCAGTACAATGCTACTGGCAGTGATCAAACATATGCTAAAAATATTCAATATCAATGTATTAAAATTATATATTTGCTTAGGAAAAAAGGGCAATCACACCCAGTATGTCTGAGGAGGGTAGCTGTATACAATCTTACGCTTGCAAGTGGAGAGCCTGTCCAAGTTACAAGACACAAACCTTACACAAGTAAGGCTTGCCCTCATCAGCTTTGCATAGAAATTCAGTTTAGAAGGAAAGATTATTAGTTTATATTTAACTAATAATTATCATCATCAATTGTCTATTCAAACTATAAGCATGCATTCAAAACAGGACTGATTTATATTTACTACTAGAAGAATGATCGATGTAGTTAAAACACAAATTAAATCAAGTAGAAACCAAATCTGCTTATTCTAATGCCCAAAATTATGATTCTAACAAAATTGTACAATAAAGATCACTAAATTTCAAGAAATTTCATCTCATTAAGAAATTATTCATTGCATTTAAAAATTCAAAATTCAAATTTAATTTTTCTCGTCAGCTTTTTAGCTTCTTCAATTTTGAGGATCCTAGTTGGAAGCAAAAGAATAACAGTGACAAAAAATAACAGTGAAAAGTAGCAATATGTCTTCAAATAACTCGTATTTTCATTCCTCAATATAGACATTTGTTAGAGAATTAGAGGCCAACTCAACTTTCGGGATAATTGGCCATTGACATGGTTTTATACCTATATGATCAATTGACCATGAGTTTGATATTTTCTGCCCCCATTACCCTAAATATAATTGAAGTTCTACACAAGCTAGAAAGGGCTTGTATATTGTCCACACTTCAAGCATAATGCATCCTTGCATAAGAGAGCTTGTTAGAGAAATAAAACCAATCTTGAGCCTACAGCTAATAGCTAAACTTTAAGGAGTTGTCCTCAAAAACATCATTTTCAAACAAGATAAGACCAGCTGAATATCTAAAAAGAAATAGAAAAGGAAAAAATATCAGAAAAGATTAAATTATAGAACTTCAAGATAGCCAAAATGTTAGGCCTATATTAAATTTTGTCTCTCTCTAACCATAGAGGCACAACTGCAGCCTAAAATCTCCGCAATAGTTATTGTACTTCAATAAAAGAGTAGCACCTTACATGTTCCAATATATTCCATAGATAGATATCCAAATGTATTCCTACCTTCGCTACATAGTACAGTCGCTTGTTTTGTGGCAAACATTGAAATCCAGAACCACAATTCATCTTAAAGTTTAATGTTTCTACAAATGTAGCAATTGTATACACACACACACACATATATACACTTGCAGGAATCATAAACAAAATTAACCTGAAATGAGACAAGCATGATTCTACTTCCAATGCATTATTTATTATAGAAATAAGCTGAAAACCCAGCAGAGAACTGACCTGGTTCGCATAGCTGATGCCCATATTTGCCCAAGCACGAACATAATTAGGCTTTAAATCCAGCGCCTGGAATTAATATTGTTTTAGTCAAAAGGAGGAGAATTCTGTATGAGAATAGATTTAAAACAAAAAATAAAAATTGCATATTTCCTCCAAAAACATAAAGACAAATGGAAAGGAAAATAAAGTTAAAAAAGAATGAAATAAAGAAATGCACTTGATATCTCGAGATTTCCTCTCAAATCCCACCATAATATACACAGACAGACAATAAAGAGAAGCCAGCTGAACAGTAGGCAGTAGCACTAGTATCTTACAAAAGAAGTGGAGCAATTTTACTCCAAAATGTTCCAGGGCATTGTACATGGAGACGGTTGACAAGATTAATGCTAACATCTATACTCCAATGTTTGTGGATTGGGTAAGAAGAAATTATTGCTTAAGTTTTTCAAGTCAGCTGTAATTATACGTCTCATTCTCCTTGCCTAGGCATACAGCCCTTGACAGAAAGGGGCCTGAATATAGCACACATAGGTGTAGTACGTACACTAGCCCAAGCTCCACACCCCCACTCTAAAATAAGTTAACAGACAGTTAGTTACATGTTCTAAATTTCTAATAACATCCTAGTCCTTACTCATAACAACTCCAAATAAAACTTAATCCATATCTTTTTCACACTTGTTCTTAAAAATCCATAACTTTACAATATAATGTTAGAAAAGACTTTATGTAAAATGAAAGAGAGTATTTCAGTGTCTTCTATGTGGACTTACTACAATTTTTCCATTGTTTAACACAGGGAATGTATAATACCCAAACAAAATACAATTACAGTTGGAAATATCAGTCCATGAAAATAACTAATAACTTGTGATAAACCCTAAAACTAGGTTTTGACGAGACATGAGAAAGTCCCTAACTTATAGTTTGATAAATGACCAGCTCATGGTCACACATTTGATTCCCTAAAAATCTTGATACATTAAGTTTCATTTAAATGAATAATTACATTAACCACAGCCATAGCAGCATTAAATTCTATACACAGTACCTGTTGATAAGCCATTATTGCATCAGCACTTTGGACACTGTTTGCTTGAGTTGCACCAAGCTTGTTCCAAAGAGAGTAATCCTGTGGCTTAAGTTTCAGTGCTCTTTCAAAAGATGCAATGGCTTTGTCATATTCTCTGGATAAGTTGTACAGGACCCCAAGTACTATGTGGACATCAGCATCATCAGGTGAAAGTTCAGCTGCTTCATTGAATAACCTAGCAACCTGCCGAAAGGAAAATCAATATTTCCAATCTAACCAAAAGATATATTAGGTTTAGGGATGTTTGTCAGATGAAGCTTGGCTTCACAGACAGGTGAGAAGCAGAATGAGGTGAGAAGGTCTAGTGTTGAAGCTGAGCTCATGACATCACACAAACTACTTGTGTGCTTATGTGGCTTTTGTACTTGCGTTGTGCCTGTCTACCAAGTGCCAACAACTACTCAATGAGATTATATTGTGAAAATCAAACTACCATGCATATTTCATCTAACCCAGTATTTAATAAGATGTCAAAAACATACTGAATGTATTCCCATTCTTTTGGAGAAAATTTTGCAGTCCCTTGTTTCTAGTTGGTATATTAAAAAGAGCCAACAACTGAAAAGACATATTTACAAAGGCCCTTACTGGGTTAGGATTTACAGCATATGCAATAAGCATGAAAGATAACATATTCAACCATCTTAATGGAAATGTTAAGATAACAGGCTGCATCAATATGTTAATGCACTATGTAACCTTAGTGTTCAAATACAGAGAGCATAATCAGTTAGATGAAATTAGTATTCGTCATCCCTGCCCTCTTCCCCACCCTTCTTTTAAACCCAACTGTTGAAATTATGTAATTATAGTAATATTATAAATAAAAAAATTAGTATTTTTGTAATTATAGTAACTTCTTATCCAGTATCAATAGTTCCTATAAATATATGTTCAGGTGTGTAGTAAAAACACATGGATTCATCTTATGTTTCTTGTTCTCTTTTCTCAATATGGTATCAAGAGCCTAACAAGGAAGAAACCCTAGTCCGTCCTTTCCCTATCAGCCCACTACTCATAGGTGTAATTTTCTTTTCCAAAATTGTCTCTCCAGTTTCTGATTTTTTTTCAACTTCACGGTTCATTCTTCTGGCAAATTTCCAACCGACACTGTTCACACTGTCAGCCACTTTTCCGGCCATCACTGTTCACATCCTTGACAACTTTTCCTGGCCAACACTGTTCACACAGCCAGGCAACTTTTCTGGCATGCTTTTTTTTTAACCCGTCCGACACTGTCTCTGGCTACTGCTTGTTTTGTCAGAGTCACCGCAGGCTGATGTCCTCTAATCTGTCCTTTATTCATCAATCTAGGTTACGGGTCCCTAATTTTTTCATTTCTTGCCCTGTTTGGTATTTTTCAAGCTGCAACATGGCCACCTCTATCCCTTCCTACTTCAAAATTCAGCAACCACCAGCACATATTCCTTCCCCCACATACAATGACTTTCTTCGATGGTTTGAGGAGCGTCAGGCCTCTAGTCCCACTGCTTCTGTTGTACACACAGGTAATTCTTTTGTTAGTGTCTCTCCCTCATCCTCCCTTGGACCATGGGTCCTTGATTCTAGGGCCACTGACCACATCACTAATAATAAATATCTCTTTTTCACTATTTCTACATCGGATTATTTACCCTGTCACAATGACTAATGGGTCCCAAACACAATCTCAAGGTATTGGTACTGTCCACCATTTTCCCTCCCTCTCTATTGATAATGTTCTTTATGTTCTCAGATCTCCTTTTAATTTACTTTCTATTAGTAGTCTCACTTGATTCCTTGATTGTATTATCTCTTTTACAAAAGATTATGTTTACCTATAGGATCAAAGTTCAGGGAGAATGATTGGCACTGGATGTGAGTCTCATGGTCTCTACCATTTAAATGCTTCTGCTCATGCTGGTTTGGTAATTGATTCAACTCTTATTCATGCTCAATTAGGACATCCTAGCTTAACCAAGTTACAACACTTAGTACCAAATCTTTCCAAGTTATCTACTTTGTCCATGAGTTATGTTAATTAGGAAAACATACTTGTCGTTCTTTTACTAGTTATGTCCATCGTCATTCTACTTCTCCCCTTTCTTTAGTTCACACTAATATGTGGGCTCCAAGTTATCTACTTTGTCCTATGAGTCATGTTAATTAGGAAAACATACTTGTCGTTCTTTTACTAGTCATGTCCATCGTCATTCTACTTCTCCCCTTTCTTTAGTTCACACTAATATGTGGGCTCCAAGTTGTACGGTGTCGACTTTAGGTTCAAAATATTTTATTACTTTTATTAATGATTATTCTAAATGCTCTTGGTTATTTTTAATGAAAGATTGTTCTGAGTTATATTTTATTTTAAAACTCTTTTTTGAAAGTAAAACTCAATTTGGTGTTCCAATTCGTACTTTACAAAGTGATAATGCTCATTAGTACTTATCTAATCAATTTTAAAATTTTATGGCTTCTAATGGTATTCTCCATTAGACCTCTTGTACTTGTACTGCACAACAAAATGAGGTTGCTGAACGAAAAAATAGACATCTTACTGACATTGCTTGTACTTTATTATGTCATAGTCAGGTTCCTCATCATTTTTGAAATGATGTTGTTTTTACTGCATGTTACCTTATTAATAGAATGTCATTCTCAGTTCTTCAAAACCAAGTCTCTCACTCCATCTTATACCCTCACTAGTCCCTTCACCCTTTACCCCCTTGTGTCTTTGAGTCCACCTACTTTGTTCATGACTTTAGTTCCGAGCTTGATAAACTCTCACCACACTCTCACAAATGTGTTTTCTTAGGTTACAGTAGATCTCAAAAAGATTACAAGTGTTACTCTCCAGCTCTTCATCGCTATTTAGTTTCGGCTGATATCACCTTGAATTTGTTCCTTTCTTTAACCCAGTCCTCCTGTTTCAATCTCTGAGTCTACACCTTCCCTTCCTCTAGCTTATGTGTCTTTCCATTATCTTCTGAAAATCCCTTTATGGTCTCAAACAATCTCCAATTGACAAATTCAGCATGGTGGTTCAACAATTTGGCATGACTTGAAGTGAAGCAGATCACTCCGTATTTTATCGTCATTCAACCTTAGGTTGTATTTAATTGTGTATGTAAATGACATTGTCATTATAGAAGTGATCATCATGGCATTGAACAGATAAAGCAACACCTTTATCAGCATTTTCAAACAAAAGGTCTTGGTAGGCTTCGATAAATTATGAGGATTGAGGTGGCACAATCCAAGAATGGAGTTATTATTTCCCAAAGGAAGCATGCAATGGATATCCTAGAGGAAACACGATTGATGGAGGCCAAACCTACTGACACTCCTATGGATTTTAATACCAAACTTCTGCCAAGTCATGGGGAGCCACTTTTAGATCCAAAAAGATATAGGAGACTTGTTGGAAAATTAAACTATCTGACAGTTACTTGCCCAGACATCTCTTTTGCAATTAGTGCGGTGAGACAATTCCTTATCTTTTCTTGTGATGGACATTGGGATGGAATAATCTGCATTTTGAAATATATTAAAAGAGCTCCAAGAAAAGGTCTTATATGAAGACAAAGGACATACTTAGGTGGTGGGGTATTTAGATATAGATTGGAAAGGATCACCTAGGGATAAGAGGTCTATATCTGGCTATTACATCCTTATTGGTGGAAATCTAGTTTCCTGTAAAAGCAAAAAGCAAAGTGTAGTTGCAAGGTCTAGTGCAAAAGCAAAGAGCATGGCTTTAGTCACTTGTGAACTTATATGACTAAAACAACTACTCAAAAAATTGAGATTTGGAGAAGTTGGAGGGATGACACTTATTTGTGATAGTCAAGCAGCTTTACATATTGTGTCAAATCCAGTTTTCCATGAAAGGACTAAATACATTGAAATAGACTATCACTTCATTAGAGAGAAGATTTTATCTGGAGACATCACTACTAGCTTTGTAAATTCTCATGATCAACTAACAGATGTCTATACCAAGTCTTTAAGAGATCTTCGAATTAGTTATATAAGCAACAAGCTTGGTGCATATGATTTTTATGCTCCTGCTTGAGAAGGAGTGTTGAAAACATGTAATTATAATAATATTATAAATAGAAAAATTAGTATCTTTGTAATTATAGTAACTTTTTATTATGTATTAATAGTTCCTACTATAGATATATGTTTCGGCATGTAGTCAAAACACACGAATTCATCCTATGTTTCTTGTTCTCGTTTCTCAACACCAACAATTTCTTAACACACAGTATAGGGAAACCCAAATGCCCATGGACTAACAAAGAAAGGCCAAGTAAACAACTTTATCCAAGAGCAAAGGCTAGGGAGAAAGGACCAGGATAATGGTCTACACAATAGACCCAAACATCTGCAGATAGCATACCTCCACCAGGCTTTTCAAATGCATCTATATCTTAATTATAATGTATACTGTGTGAGGTTTATACTGTCACCACTACAACAAATAATTCTTTAGATGATAATCAGGAAGTAAATAATCCACTTACATCAGCATAGTACAAAGAATCAGCCATTTCAGGTGGGGCAAGTGTTCCATATTTTGGGTGATGGCGCAACCATCCATACAGATACTTCAGAGCAGCCATTTGCTCCAGTTCTGCAAATATCAGCAGATAAGCTCAATTTTTATATATAGGAAACAAATGCAAAGCCTACAAATCATTAGCATCAGTGCTTTCAGTTACAAATTCACCAAAACAGTAGACTAGTACAAAATGGAGTATAAGAATCCTTCAAAAGCAGGAAAAACAAATTACAGCAATTGAAAGTATATAAGTTACTCAAAAGACCTCTCCTACCTCTACAATAAAATTAATTCAAATGCCACAGCTTGGTGTGACAAATGATTTGAGCTAATTTTATTTTGCTATTGTGGTTTATATCATTCATCCAGGCAATGAATCAGAAGAAGTTACTAACCATTTGTATGACTAACACCAAGAGCAAGAAGCACTTCCAGATTTGTTGGATCAGCCTCCTGTGCACGCATCATAGCTGCAATGGCCTGTGTAAATTTAAAAAAGTTTGAAAAAAGCTGTATGTTAACATCTAAAGTAAATATTCAAAATACAAAGCAATAAACCAATACAAAAACCTAGTAAAATTGAGATAAGTGCTGACAATTAGACTGTATAATATGGGACAAGAGAGGAAGCAGGTGCCAGTTTTTTACTAAATAATCAGTATAGAATTGCTGGCATGAAGTGGCAGTATAAAATGTACATGAAGGATTTGGAAAGCAAGTTTCCATAATAAAACAAGATCTTGGAAGGCAGAAAAACATTCAAAAATAAGTCTAAGGAATAGTAAGTTTCCTATTCAATTGCATCCAAATGTATTCTACCACTTAAGAAATACCCACTATATTATTTTGTAAATAAGAAACCATTTCTTGGGCAACAAATATGCTACTCACTGAAACCACTTTTGGCAAATGAAACAGGAAGCATAAATCATTTACTATATATCCAGAACAATCACTTGATGGTTTCAGCAAATAAGCAAATGTGACTGGCATAATTAATTTAACAGCAACATCATCTCTGCTATTGACTGTTGACACAAATATAAACAAATTGATATATAAATTGTTTTGTTTGTTCCAAAGAGAATTTGCACAGCTCCGGTGTATTGCAGTTACAGAATAATACCTGTCATTGCAGACCACTAATAGGGAGGCTTAACATCAATAACAATAAGGCATAACCTAACCTGCTGATCATCATCATTCTCTGCATGTGCTATTCCAAGCAGTCTCCACCCTTCAGCATTCTCAGGGTTTTTTAAGACTTCAGCTTCCAATGCTAGAACTGCTTCACTTAGAAGTCCTTTTCTAAATAGATCTAGGCCTTCTTTTAGCGGATTTGGATGACCAACATAAGGATTTAAATCTGAAAAGACATATACACCCCTTGAACTATCCAACTGCTGCTTCGCAGCAACTTGCTCATTTAGGAACCTTCATATAACCCCCAAAGAAATTCTGATTAATAAGAGAATAACCTCCTTGCTGGCATGTACATTTTCAAGTCTAAAGGGAAAAATATAGGCATAACCTAAGCACACCAAGAAAAAAACAAAAGCAATAGTAGAGGAACCATTTTTAATATTAGTAAAAGCATAATTGATTGACAAAAAAAAACAAAGTACATTTAGGAGGATCCTAAGCAACCAAATTAGACCAATTGATAATATTCATCTTTAAACAAGATCCAGAGATTCTTTAGTTCATTATGTACCACTTAGGTAGCACATTGACCAATAGGAACCTGCAGTTAGTTTGAGAAATATTGCATGGCACATCCATATTTGAAAAATGTCAATCCAAGATTCAGTTCTCAATGATTCAGTATTAAATTGAATGGGGCACCATGTTTACACAATCCAGATCCAATCTAAGTGTACACAGTCCATCCTTCCAGTAAAAATAAAACTGAAAAGAAATAGATTAGACACTTCTGTACTTTAGGTGTTTCTTTCTCGATCCTAATCTTCTACATTAGAATAGTAACTCCCAATATTTTACAAGATTTCTCTTTCTCTTCTCTGTTGGAATTGAGTCAGAACACACAAACTGCAAGATTTTATTGAAAGAATCTGGAATTAATCCAGAATTTATAATACAGAACACTACCACAGGCCTAAGCCCTAACAAGGAGTCTCCTTCAGACAGACCTAAGCAATCTAACACACAAGGAATCAGAGATAGGTCAAACCCCACCACAAAGCAGCCAACCCCCAAAATGCTATAGCAGGATGATAGCTATTTTACAATTTTTTATACAAACATATTATTCTATACTTATAATGCTCAAAATATTCAAAATTCATGACATATTCATAATTATGAATAAAAAGTAATTTGTCTTAAGCAAAGCACACAAATAAATAACAGAAAAGGCAGAGGAAATAATAAAAAGGAAATAACATATAACAGAACAGAGGCAGCAGAACTGCAAAATAGGGAGAGGAGTCAACGTTGGGTTGCCAGAGAGGATGTGTGGCTCTCCGACTTTGGTCACACAGGAGGCAGAACAGAACAGAGAGAAGGGAAGCCTTAGACAGAGAAGAGAGAATAGAGAAGAGAAAAGAGGAAGTGTGGGAAGAAAAACAAACTAGGGTTAAGGTTTTAAACTTTTCTGAAAAATTGAAAAGATAACTTTGACCCTAAAAACCCACAAAATACTGCAGCTAAAGTTTTGAGGACCAAAATGAAATTTTATATTCATTTTCTCTGTCGCACAGTGATAGCACTGTAAAATGCAGATATTTGGGCTGCAAAAGCAGCACCCATGAATAGAAAATGCCACTATCGAAGTTTTGGGGCATCAAACTGCCACTCTACCATGCACTGCTGAAGAAGTGCCGCAAACGCACACTATTGATAACTATGCGCATAGGATTTAAGAAATATACACTAGCTGCCATACTGCACATCAAACAACAGTCCTATGGTTACTAAACACAAATAACTTCAATACAACACATCACACATAAATATCACTCTTATTTCTTCCACTCATTCTTTCACTCCTGGAATGTGATACGTTTTAGGTATAGACTAGAAACAGGTGTCCAAGACTCCAAGTTACGTTTTTTACGCTATCTGAATATCATTTCAATCTAGAATAAGGACAAAGAAAAATGTGCTAATTATACGAATTTCCGAGGACAGTAACATTCTCTTGCTTTGATATAAAAGCACTGGGGAAAGGGAATGAAGAATGGGTAAGATAGTTCTCTTGAAAATGAAAAAAAGAAAATCAGACTAAAACATTAATCCAGAATACCAGATACATCAGCCAAAAACAGTTTTCCAATCTCTGCAACTTCAACTTTGATTCATAAAAGTTCTCCCAAATAAAGGAACAAGTACACAAGATGGCATAGTCCAAAGTCATTCGTTAAATTATTATGTTTTTTTTTTTTGGTCAATCTATCCATTAAACAGTTCCTTAAGATGAAAAAAATTGTAATTCAGTCTATAAAAATGTTTGACTTACTCATCGTATGCCTGTGCCCAATTATCAGAGCTCTCCCCTAAGGCTCCTTCACCAATCTGATGACCAAATTCATCTGCCCAATCATTAACATTCAACTTTGAGAATTCATTAACCCACTGATCATCAACTGCATCATGCTGTCGTCCTTCAGTTGTAAATTCATTCGCCCACTGATCAGGTCCATGATAAACCTTCAGTCCACAAGTCAGAATACAAAATGTTGAGAAAAAGAGCTCATCAATTAATTATAATTTGGTATATAGTTTCATGATTGATAAAAATTTAGTCAAAATTAATCAACTGTGAGATGAGTGTAAGGGTGACCTAGTGCATGACGCTCCACAGTCCAGGGAGGTTCAGATATATGCAACCATACATGTGTACAGAGAGTCTGTTTTCACAGATATAGCCCTTGACCACCAGGTCACACAAAGAACCCTAAACAATTACACAAGTGTTTGCACACAACATGACAAGGACAAGAATACCAGAAAGTCTACAATGTTTAATTGCTTATGTTAAGATGTACCACATTGGCTAGAAATACAGTCATAATAGGCTTTATAAGGCCAAGGCTTGGAAAGTCATCCTTCCTTGAGCTAACTTTAGAAAGTGAGTTAGGCCCAGTCTCTTTCTAGGAGTTCAGAAAACAAAGAAAGGTAAATACTACTCTTAGGAATCCAAGTGATAGAACCCATGCTAACACCCCCCCTATAGGCCCATAAATTTCCCTATCCTTCTCAAACAAAGCCTTCAGAATCTCTTCTGACTGAAAACGCCACCCAAGTCCCAACCAAAACAGTATCTCTACAGCAACAACCCAACTTACCCGCAAAAAGACCCAGACATTGTCCCAAAAAGGATTTATTAATAGTGAAACTAAGAATAAAAGTAAGCCCTCTGATAGAAATTCAATAAGAAAAAGACAGTGTATTGTAGATTTTAATTGTAGAAATAAAATGCAACAGCAACCACCAAAGTATCCTGCTCCTCTTAAGAGAAAATAAGATCTCAGCATATCCCCCACTAATGCTCCCCCTTACACAATATACTCCTTTTCCCGTAACTAACTCCCACACTACATTTCCTTTTCTACCCTCTCACTCTTTTTCTTTCACATACACACTCCTTGCTTTGGGCCCCTCCATCAGATCCATTAACTGGTCATTTGGCACAGCAGCTCCCTCACCTTCAACTCCTACAAACACCATGACAAAATTTGTTGTGTACCCCCAGCTCAAAACCTGCCAAGATACTCAGAATTATGGTAGTTAAAATCCCAATTTGAATCATAAAATCATGGATTTTACAATTTTGGAAGCCTTACTGCTTTGAAATTGTTGTAAAATCCCGATTTGAATCGTAAAATCCCAATTAATCATGGGATTTCACAATTTCACTTCAACTCTGAAAACCCCTCAATAAGCCTCTTTTATTGAACCCTAAAATAGTAGACTCCTATTTATTATCTCTTTTTTATCAAATCCAATTTGCCTCTAGCAGCTTTGAACCCCTAACACCTTTGTCAACTTCCAACAGTCCTCCCAGTGTGTATGACCTGGTTTGCAACTAACCCAACAGTGCGCTACTGCTCTGAGTTCAAGTCTACTGCTGCTCTTTTGGTTTTCCTTGCATCTTTTATGTTCTACTCTATTTTTGACTTCTGAATTCCACACTTTATGGCTTATGCATGACCTTCTTATGGAATATAAATTATGATTTATGAGTGCTAGTTTATTTAATTTTTAGTGATTTAAGGATCTTTTTTCTAATTTATGCTATTTTATATGCATAGTATGTATGAATTGATATGCATATATAGGAATTTTGTAAAATCTGTGTAAATCTTACGATTCAATTTACAATTTTCACTCTCCTTTATGATTCAAAGTAAAATCCCAATTTGAATCAAGCTTTCCATGCCCATAATACAAACATTAGCTAAACTGCAGTAAATTAATCACCTTAATTGTATTAAATATGAAAGATTTAACACTACATTTGGATTGAAAGATTTGATTGTGCAGGTAAGAATTAAGGAAGAACAAGATAGGAAAGAAAGGTACAATCTTGTCAGTTTGAATGCAGTGAAACAAGGGAAAAAGGAACTTATCTTAAGGTGAGGCTCAGCCAAAAACCTCCCTACAGCCAAGATTTTGGACAGAAGAAGGAATGGACAGGAGAATTCCACATATAACCTTCATTTTGATTTGCTTTTAATTTTACAAATTCCAATTATAAAATAAAATTGTCTTTATACACATTTAAAAAATTTATTTCTACTCATTCTTTTACTCATCCAAACAAAGCAGAGAGAAAATTTTCTATTTCTTTCTTTCTCATTTTTATCCATCCAAACAAAATATCTTTTCTACCATGTTTCTCTGTACTTTCTTTCTTTCTTTTTTCCTTGCTCACTTATTTCTTTCCTCCTTATTTCTTTTATCATCCAGAGTAAAATGAGCCATAAATTTTGCAGTGTTGCACAGTTTTTGCAGTCCTTTGGTTAATCTAATTGTAGTGGAATGCTTGCATTTTCAGGGGCACTTCTCTAACCCACAACTCTGGGATAGGATTGTGATCTTGGTCTCTTGTCATATTGCACGAGTCTGTCAAGGGAGTTGCTTTTTCCGCCTTTTACAGAAATTGGGCAACTTTGCTACCACACATTAATTCCACCTGATGTATTTTTCTCCTCCTAATTTGGTACCTTTCCTTGACCTGATAATTTCCTCTTTTCTTTTAATAACCTTCTGTTTGCCTATAATGAATTACACCTGTGTCCTTTTGTAGTTGTTACTTGTTACATTAATATAAATAATTTTGAGTTTAATATCAGTGTTTCAAATCACAATTATTCAGTCTCTTCAAAACGGTCCCCTGTTTACATTCTCATTCATTTTATGTTCCCAACTCCCAACCACTTCCCAATTTTTGTCTCACATGGTTAACAGTAACCAGAGTACCAATCACTGCCTCAACTCTTGATATATCTTAGTTTTCTTATTGAATATATGCCAATCAATAAGATAAAACACTTGAAAAAGAATATGATTTCAAGTTCATAGGATATGCCTTATCATTTAAAAATTCACCAGCCCATGCATGACCATCATTATATTGCTGCTGGTATTCTGCTGCCCAATCTCCAGATGCGGGTAATGCAGTCTCTTTAACTTGATTGTCATCAATAATCAACTCACCACGGCTCATCTTTGATACAAATTGAAGGAATTTAGAGTTCTGCAAGCCAAAAAGCATGTTAATAGATTTTATTAATTTTGGAAAGAATGCTACAAGAGGATAAGATATTCTCCCTAACAAGGGCACAAGACTATAGCACAGAAAAAACAAGCTCATCAGCAGAAAATTTGCTATTCCCTCCACCACATGGCTTTCAAGAATATTCTTAGATTAAATCTATGGCATAGCACCAACAAAGAGTCTGTAAAACCAATCTTCAAAGTTTTTCCCAAACTCTTGTCATCTCTCTTTTCTTCATAATAAATTTTCAAATAATTGAATATTTTAAAGAGAAAGAAATATACTCTTAATGCAGTCAAAGCACAAGAAAAGTATAACAAAAAGAATAAAGCAAGGTATCAACTTGAGATCCATCAAGTCCCTTCAAAAAAATGACTGAAAATCCTGGACACAAGCATTAGCTTTAACACACAAGGAGACCAAGAATACCATTTTTATGTCAAAGTATTTGTAAATCATGATACTGAGATACTGTCACAAAACTCAAGCTTTACTTTCCATGCCAAAACATCAAATATCAGCATATCACTAGAATATTGTTCCTATCAAATTATTCCTTTTTATATATTCACCTATTATGCACGCTGAGGGATCATTGTAAACATTAATATATTAATTCCTAACACCAATGCAGTCCTAACTCCTAAATGATGTAGAGTAATGAATCATATAATTTTTGTGTCGCCCTCAAGTAAATCTGTAATGACACACACCAATAAAATAATTTTCACAAGCACCAAGTGATATTCCCCTTCCTGTAAGTATTAGCACTATCAATTACTGAATAAATGTCATATATTTGAGAAATCAAATGCATTTTAATGTAAAAGATAGATGGAGATTGTTAAAGTTGTGTCATGAGCATCTGAAATTTGTGCTAAGGAAAAAATAATAACCATACCTCTTGAAGTTGTCAGATTCTTCATAAAATTAGAAAATTTTGTTAAATTCAATATCTATCCACAATGTTCACTTACAAGATTCAATACTTATAATCTTAAATTTGCAAGAGTACGACAATTAAGTAGGGGATTAATGTAATAGTGAGCCCAGGATTCTCATTTTATTTATCAAACAAATCAGTGCAACCAGAAACATGTGTTATTAGTTACATATATCAACAAGAACATAAAAAAGGCAAAAAAGAGTAAATAAATTAGCAAAAAGTTAAAAGCAACTGAACTTCTAATCCATTTTGATACATAATAATGAAGTAATAGATTGGAATGATTTACAGGCTAGTGAAATAGAAGTATTAAAGTCATTTACAGCAGATAAACCTGAAATTTAGGGTCACCATTTTGGGCCAATGTATTTGCAAGCATACGAGTCTGCTCCATTGCAGCAAAGTTTGGAATGTTCATACCACGCATTTGATCTGCTGATGACAATTGGGACTACAAAAAAAAATAGCAAGAGAAAGCATTTAAAAAAGAGAGGAAATGAATTAAAAATAATAACATATGCAGAGGTTAACATTGAGAAATTGATTAGTATCTACAAATACCAGTATAATTCAAGCCAATGGATACCAACATCAAGACCAGTGAAGAAAGACATAGCACCAAAGACACATTGTACGAAACAACAGATAATGCCACCTTCCATTTTGGGTTGTATTTTCTGTCATGACCTGTTTACTTGGGTAATTTCTACTGATTATGGATGTTCTAGTTGAAATTATAATACTTTCAAAACAGAAAAGAAACCAAACTGCCAGATTATATTCCAATGACATTCCTCACAAAGCTCTTTCTGCCTATATGTGTGTTATACACAGGTGTTGGTTGCCAACATCAAGACCAATGAAGAACAGAGCATGAGCATTGCATCAAAATTTTAGAAAATAATTTTGAAGGGAAGTCCATGGACAAAGAAAGGAAAATGTAGATTGTGAAACTGAAAGTTAACGGAATCAACCAGCAATTGTGGAATGGAAAAGTTTGTAGAAGCAGTGTGCTAGGTCAGGAAAATATAAAATTAAAGCCTAATCGATGAAGGCAAACCTCAGGATGTAATTTACACTAACTAATTATATAATGAACAATTTATAGAGTGACCAAAAATGGGCATTGAATGTCTAACATTATTCTGAATTCCATGTTTACATGGCTTTGATGCAGAAACATGAGTGTAACCATATAATATTTGCATTACCAGTCAGTTCAGCATAACAAGTATCCTCAATAAAACTCAAGGATTTCGATTAAATGTTTACAGACTCAAAACTACATGAATTTACAGATCACAAAGTGTAAGTAACTTCAAATCATAGAAAGAAATAGAACAATAAAGACTTCTCACATGTTCAAATTCAGAAACCCAACCATTTACACCATACTGTTGCTCAAATGAGTTAGCCCATGAATCAGGATTGTCAAGGTTTTCCCTATGTTGACTAAATTCAGTAATCCATCCGTCTGCAGCAGGAGGACCATGTCTCAGGTTGCCTTGAGACTCATTCCAGTAATCTTCAAGCTCCCGAAATCTTTCAGGCATAGGTCCCTTACCACGGACATTGCCATCAATATCTAGAGAGCAAAGAAGTGCATTTACCTGAAGGAAATTACATGGGATAAGTTCAGAGCCAAGTAATCAAGCCAAAGGCATATAGACAAAATTGATTTTAGGGGAATCTTGCAAATATCTAGTAGAAATCATTATTGATCACATGTAGGTCCAACAAATCATTATTCCACATGCTTTATAAAAGGAAAGGCTAGCATACTCCAGAGGAAGAGCTTCTCAAATTTCTTAGTAAAAGTTTGGTGAAGATATAACCTAAGAAGAGATGCTAATAGACATTTGACTCAATAAACAAAAGCTGAAATGTATGAAGAACAAACGAAACAGCTATGATACAGGAGTAACTCCCAAGCCAGTCTAATCCTAAGCCAGTCCAATCCTTTGAGGCATAACATAAAAATCATTTTAATATAACTTGAAAGCAGATTACACAGAGGAACCTCTTGCACAATCACATCATAGCCTAGGCAACTGCCCATGCACCTAATGACAATATAGAACTCTAATACACAAACAACTAAAAGTCTTTCTACTCAATGACCAATTCATTGTTTATAGAGCATCATGTTCATATGCATGCAATAAAATAAACTATGTGAAAAGTCAGCTGAAACCACGTGATGGTGGCCATGAACTTCCTTACTTGGGAATTGATAAATTCTTCACTTTTATCTGCAAAGAGATGCCTGGCCATTATGCTGCTACGGTCACATATGCATTGCTTATCACCTTCTGATAAACCCAATAATGGAAGAGGGGCAGGATGAAAAGGTATTCCACCACGGCCGCTATCAAGAAATGAGTGCAAAAAGCTAGATAGAACTCTTTGCGGTGTCCCTGGAGATATTGCAAAGATAACAACATCAAATCTATATTACTTTTTGTATGTTCAGTATCTCAAAGCATCAAAATAACATAGTTTAGAACATGGAACAAAGAGGAAAAAAAATCAACAGAGCAAAGCTGCTCACTCCCACTGCATGTCTATTACCAAAATCCCCCAAAAAAGATATGCAGGGTCAAATTCCTTCTTCATATTAGACCATAGACACCAAATCACGAAAATCCAAACTACCTAAGCAATGAAGACCAAGCGTATGTTTGGATAACAAGCTTTGGTTTTCTTTAGACCATTCGTTTCAGCTTATTTATGAAAACATAACTGCCTTGTCTCCTGAAAACTCCCATAAAATTTGCATAAGAACAAAACAACTATTTCCCAAGAATAAACTAATCCAAACACGCACGTCACAATACAAGCTAATCCAAATTCCAAACACACTGTATCCAAATAAGGCTTCAAACTACCATCCAATGGCGGCTGTTGAAGTGCGGGTGGCGGCAGTTGGCGCAATTGAGAGCCATGAGTTTGGATAAATCCACCCTCACGCTGTATCTCATCCCACGTCTCCTCGAGCCCAACCGTGCCGCGGAACCTTTGCAAAAACTCCGACCCCTATCATTCCACAACAACAACAACAACAACAACAACAATAAATCACTAGGATCATTCATTGAGGTCATTGAGAAGCAAAAAACGATCACAAACACACACACACACCCCCACATGATGACATAAACATAAGAACGGTAAGCAAACCTGAGAGTTAGCATCGAAAAGAGGCTTATCGAGTTCGGAACCAGGAAGGTAGGTTCCAGGTAGAGCCTGGGAGTAAAGTTGGGAGGTGGGGTCAGTTGGAGTGGATGTGGGAATCTCCTTCAGCCTCTCCTGTTTCCAATCAAATAAATAAGAATCGAATCGAATCAGTTAGTGATAAGTGAAATAGTAACAAGTGAATGGCTAAGCGAAAGAGAAGCAGCACCTGAGTCTTGGAGGAAGAGCCAATAAGGGCGTTAGCGAGAGCAGCGAGAGGGTTCGCCGAAGATGAAGAAGAAGAAGATGGGTCACCACATGCTGTGGAACCCGTAACGAGGTCACGCATCGCCATATCCACCAACCAACTCTTTCAATTCTTCTTCTACCTTCGGTTTTGTCGTTCCCGTTCTCGTTCACCCTCTTGTGCTCTGTTGTTATCTATCTCTCTTTTTCTGTTCCCCTGCTTGTCATTTTCTTCCTAATCATCTTCCTTTTCAATAATAAAAAAATAAAACAATTAATTAGGGTTGGCCTTATAATTGAACCGGCGAGTCTATCTCTTTTACGAATACTTTTATCTGCATTTAGCTTTTAAAAGTAAAAATAAAATGTGTGAAACAAAATAAGTAAGGGCATATTTGTCATTTATTTAAAATTATTTTTAAAATATAATTAATTTTAAATTTATGATGAATATGTTTTAATATTTTACTATATATAGAAAATTTAACTTCTTTTTATCTTATGTTTGTTTCAAAAGAAAAAAATTAAAAGAGGAAAATCCACTTCTTTGTATTAAATGGGAGCCTTCCGTCTCAAATGACAAGATTTACATGAATTATTTTTTTAGTTATTCACCATGCCGCCTTTCCAATATTTAGCATTTAAATTTTTATAAGTTCATAGTTTTAAAAATTTTATCTCTTAAGTAGTCTTCTTTATTACAATAAGATGCATTATTAATAATAAAATTATTTTTTTAAATTTTATTTAATTTAAAAAAGTCGTATAATTTATTTTAAATCATTTACTTAAATTTTTTTATTAATGATACCTTGTAACTTATACACAATTTAATAGTTATAATTTAAATTAAAGAAAATATTTTTTTCAATAAATATTGTTTTGGCAAAATTTATTATTTGTTCCTCTAATTATATTTTTTATTTATTAAATTTTTCTTTTTATAAATCAATTTATTTATTTAACTTTTATTTTTGTCTTAACATGTTATAACACCATTAAAAAATTTTAAATGTTGTCAAAAGCTTATTTTGTTTCAAAAACTATTGAAATTAATTAAAACTTTTCTTTAAATATTATATTAGAATCAACATATAAAAAATATTTATACAATAAGAAGTTACGCAAAGAAAAATAAGAATAATAAGATAATATAAATAATTATATATAGCATTTCAAATTACACAAAAATACATGACGTGGTCACAATAGAATTAAGATCATCTTTAATTTGTACGAGAATTAGAGAGTTTAATTCTTTTTTTACTTAAGTAAATTTTGACTTGCTAAACCGATTTTTTACTTTTTTGCTTAAGCAATAACAATCTGCTTAAATGAGGTTAGAAAAATTGGAGCAAATTTTGTATAGAAAGCACTTAAGGAGAAAAACAATTTGACTTAAGCGAATACAATAATTGCTTAAGCAAATTATACAAATCTGAAGCAAAAATTGGATAGAAAGTATATCATTTCATATGTTTAAATCACTTAAGCGATAAACAAGTAGCTTAAGCAAAATTTACTTCGCTTAAGTTGGATGATTTGACTTAAGCAAAAATTGGATAGAGAACATACATTTTTAGACCTTTCAAATTTGCTTAAGCGAGAAAAAAATGCTTTAAGCGAATATTGGACAAAGACTAATGTTTAGCAATATATGTAAAATGGCTTAAGCAAAATTTGACGCGCTTAAGAGAATAATGCAAATTTAATAGAAGGTGAACAAATAGAATAAATACATAAGATAATGTTATAATATACATTGACAACTTTAACATTATTAGAGTAATATAACCAAAATTAAACATAAGCGACAAGGTACAAAATGATATTAAGGTTGATCAATGATTAAATTAGTTATGTCATTCAAAGGTTCTTATAAAAAAATCATAAATTCACAAAAAAAACAAAATAGAATGAAGTAAGAAAATATTTGAAATTGTATCATGAAGTTTAATAAACTTATGGTCAACAATGTGTTAAACTAATTTGGTTGTTGAAAGTGCAAGGATGATGATAAAATAGAGGTGGTGAACAATGTACATCATAGATTTCAAAAGGTGTGAGTTGGTATTCCTAAAATATTGACCAAATACAAATCACATGGTTAATAAGGATGCAAAAATTGACTTGTTCATTGGTAAAAGGATTGATATATATACCTTAGAATGTTGGGTTTGTGATTGACCTTTCATTGGAGCATTATTTCTCCCTTTCCCTTGTAGTTCAATCCAACTTTTGGATTGTCTATACTTATTCTTCTTTATGCTTGGTCATTACTTGAAATCTTTTAGTTGTGTACCATCATTGTGCAAGAATTTTAAATATAATTATTAAAGATAACACAATTATATATAATACACATCATAACAACTCAATACAATTCCAACTATATATAATTGAATAATTACGTTAAACGCGTACCTGATGAGAACCCACGAGTCATAAGCAATCCTTGTTTTGAGTGAGCGTGTACTACTCTCTTATCTGATTGCTATTATCCCACACTAGTAACTGTCTAATGGGGCAACAGTTATATAAGCCTAATCAGATGAGAGCAGGAACCTCTCACTGGGCACATAGAATAGTTCAACCCATCACGTACTATTCACACTAAGAGCCCAATTACAAAATCTATATAATAATTATTATTATTATTATACACATTTATTTTACGTCATAATTAATAACAATATAACCATAATAATTTAATAATGCTAATCCATAAATTAATATAAATATTAATATTAATGTTAAAAAAATCTAACATTCTCCCACTTGGATAGCATTATTAAATTACTAAGTCCCCAAACTATGTTGTCGTAACAAGTTATTAATTATCACCAAAGAAATAGTAAGATCTCTATAGTATACAATTATATCCGATAGGGATATACATTACATACTACAAGCAACTTATATTCCAATCACAATATAGATGAAGGAAACATAAATATCATTTCCACAAAGGTCCAAGTATAAAAAGATTGTCATAAAAGTGACGTCAACAAAATATATATCTCATAAAAAAAATTAGATAATAATGTCAACAAACAAATACAAAATTTAACTCCCACTAATCCAAAATATCAAAAGACTTAATCAGACTCATATGAGCTACATGATTCTAAAAAGCTCCAATGGTTAAGCCTTTGGTTAGTGGATATGCGAACATGTTCTTTGTAGCAATGTACACAATTTGAGTCTAAAACTTAAGTACTTTTTCTCTAACAAACAAATACTTTAGATCAAAGTGTTTCAAACGAGTAGAACTCTTATTATTCTAAGAGAGAAGTATAGCAGCAGTATTGTCGCAATAAATCACAAGTGGCCTAAATATACTGTTAATAATGCGGAAGCCATAAATCAAATTCTTTAGTCACATAGCCTAGCGTGTAGCCTCATAACAAGCGACATACTTTGTTTTCATAGTAGAAGTAGCTATAACTATCTATTTGACACTTTTTCAAGATACAGTTCCTCCCGCCATCATAAAAATAAAGCCTGAAGTAAACTTACGGTTGTCAGGGCAACCTACAAAATTGGAGTATCCAATGACCTGAAGTTGATCAGACTTCGCATAGGTCAACATGTAATATTTGGTTCCCTGCAAATATCTCAAGACCTTCTTCACGGCTTTCCAATGACCTAAACATGGGTTGCTCAAGTACCTATCCAAAGCATTAACAATATAAGCAATATCGGGATGAGTACAAACTTAAGCATACATCAAACTCCCAACAGCGGAAGCGTATGAAACTTTCTCCATTTCAAACAACTCTCTATCATCATGAGGACACCAAAAAATTAGAGAGTTTCTCACCCCTTTGAATAGGCGCGACACATAGGGAGCAAGAATACATATTAAACCTTTTAAGGATCCTATCAATGTACCCTTTTTGAGACAATCTAAGAGTAACACAAGACCTATCACAACATATCTGGATGCCTAGAATAACATAAGCATCATCAAGGTCTTTTATATCAAAATGTTTACTCAATATATTCTTTGTCTTATTCAAAGATATCATCAACATGTACGACAAAGATGATAAAATTGCTCCCACTCATCTTCAAGTAAATGTACAGATCTCAAGCATTTTCCTTGAAGCCAATAGAAGTGACCACTTGGTCAAACTTCAAGTACCACTGTCTAGAAACTTACTTCAAACCATAAATGGATTTTATTATTCTATAATTAAATTCAAGTTATAACAAAATTTGATTTATGTTAGTCCACACAAAATATTCAACAATTTATCTCCCACTTGGACAACATAAATCAAAATATTTTATTATTCTAAATTAATCAACAATATATGGCCATAACAAGATGACAAAATAAACTAACACGAACTATAAATATCTTAACAATGCAGAAAACCATACTCGAAGGAGTAGTGATATCATACATTATAAGATACTTATATCATGTGACTCAACAACTCTAGTAGTATAAGTTGGACAATAAAATCTAGAACCCCTAGAGTTTACACAATATTCTACAAAGAAACTGCTAATTGATTTTATGAACAATAAAAGATAGTAACCTTTATCCGTCTTATCAAATTCCTTAAGTTTCTTACCTAGAGGCACTATTAAGATTTCACAATTTTGCGCCAATTTTTGCCAAAAAATTTGTCACTAATTTATCGGCAACAGATATTGTGACTAAACTTACTTCTTAGTACTACTCATCTCAAGAACATTGTCTATAATGAACTTCATAATTACTAGACATATTTTTTTAGAATGAGCCCAATTAACATGTTTGACTATAACTGCAGCGGAAGATTCAGGTATACAAACTTTAGACTTATTCTCAATAAGGGCAACATTCACATTAGAAAATGGCAAGAAACAATTTAACAGAGTCAACTCAGTCCTCATAATTGGTCCTGTTCAAAGTTTTCACCGAGGTAGGCATAGACACTGATATGGGAAACAACAAAGTTTAATATGCGCAATTAGCTCAAGTGCAACAATAATATGCCCATCACAAAATTTCTTACTTACTATGATCCTGCCTAAGGGTCCCGGATCACAATGAATAAGAAAGACGAATACAATGCACAAAATTTCATGTCACAAAAATCCTAACACCGATAGGGTATCAGTACAAAATTGACATAAGCAAAACACAATTGCATAGTATTTTCAAATCACATTAATAACAATACATCGATAGGATATAATTATTATTAATGCAATATATAATTATAT